AACTTTGGAGGAAATGGGATGTTCCCTTTGGGCTCTTGTATAGTTTTGGGGTTTTTTGTTTAAAGCCCAAGCATATTCCCACTGGGACATTTGCACATGCAGTTGTTTGGGTTTTTTTTTCAAGATATAAAGTATTATAATATATTTCAGATCACCATCTTATATCACTGTGCAAACACTTCAGTTTGCATTTTCCACATACAGAAGATGTTTGTAGAAGGATAATGGAAAGAAAAAAGGTGTTACTATCTTTACTAGCGCAATGTATTCTCCATATCTGGGGTTGGAAATTGCAGAGAAATCTTCCTTTTTTCGCTCTAGAACAAGAAATAGCTTAGCAAATTACAGTGTCTCTCAAGAATGCAACTCAACTGTATATGTTAGAATACTGTCTGATAGCGTATAGAATATATACAATTTGCAGATCACACTGATAAATTGAATCAATATTTCTAATCTGAATAAATGGTATGTATGATTCTTTTCCCTGCAAATCTGGCTGTACAATCCCCTTTTAATGCACTCCAAGTCTGAAGACAGAAAGGTACAGGATTTCTCAGTACTGTAAATAAAATGCAGCAGTTGAAAACCAAAGTGAAGCTCTGAAAGACAGTAGGCTGGAAAATCAACAAGGGCTAGAAATGGAAAGTAAGATTAAAGGTGACACTTAGCCACAAGACTATTCTTAGCAGCTTCAGAATAGTATGCAGTTAAATAAACACACACACACCAGCAAAGCTTACTTTGTAAAGTGCCTTGCTCTCACTTTTAACAGCAGATGATTGCTATTTACTGCAGGGTAGTAAACCACAGGAAGCTGGCCTTTTTTAGTGCTCTTGCCCTGGAAAAAAAAAAAGTGTCTGAAGGCAACTCAATATAAACTCTTTAAACTCTCTTCCTTCCCTTCCCAACCCCAGCTCCCCACGCCCCTATCCCAGCTGTGGCTTTTCTTCCTTGGCTGTCTATCTGAGCATCTACCATTCAGACAACTGAAGGTCATTCCCAGCTATGGAGTGTTTTGTTGTTGGTGATGTTGAGTCTTTGTGTTTTGTACAAGAGCCAGGGAAAACAATGATGCAAAGCCAACCTGGGCTGCCAGAAGTGCAAGAACTTTGATTTGCAATGGCAACCTCCCTGCCCTCATCCCCTGGCTAGAAGAAAATGAATGATGAAACAATTTACAACCTCAGAAATTTTAAGATATCATGAACACCTTTAGCCAGTTGCTGACTGTATAAGTGGTAGTTGCTTAATAAGATGAGTTACGGTATTTCAGTGCTGAGGAGCAGAATTACCATTAGGTTTTGACACTTGCCATAACTAAGTTTTAAGCGAAGGAAAGCACAAATTTTGTGTGTGGACATCCTGTGCATATGGAAACATGGACAATTAGGGGCTGAGATCAGGAGCACAGGCCAAGATCCCTTTTGTCTTAAAGAATGACTTTGGAATTAATTTGAAAGTGAAGGAAGTAAGAGATATGACTAAATAAGAGCTGCTTTGCATTCAAACATGTACTTCATGTTTGGTTGGGGAAACATGATCATTGACTTTATATTCAAGGTGGCTTAAGCTACCCTGGCTCTCTTTGCATGTCCTGGTGACTTTTTGCTGTGATTTTCTGCTTCGTATTATTGGCAGGCTGGTGTTGTGGGTCAGTAGCTGCAATAAGTTGTTAAATTGTGGTTCGTGCTAATAATGATTCTGTTCTTTTTCAGAAGTTTGTAAATAAGCTTAGATTGTGGTTTTTTTTAATCTCTAAAGCTAAATTCCAACTCTAGAACTGTGACATTTAACTGGGAGCTAACAAATGAACTATTATTTCAAGGGCTGTTTTTTCATATCATTGGAGTGCTGTGTGTTTCTTGTCTGGCCAAAACAATTTGTTCCTAAAAAATCTTATTTAAAAATAAATGTTTGGAGTCCTAAACTGGAATATTGCTTCGGGGCATTGGAGCTTTTAATTTGAAAGAAGGCTAAGTTAAAGAAAAAGAAATAAGTTGCAATAAGAACAAACTCAATATCCTTCTCAGGACTGAGAAAACTGCTTTAGTCAAAATGCTGGTAACCCTGATCTCCCTAACTTGGCCACAGTTTTTAACTCCAGCTCCTGGGCTTGAGAAAAGCCTGCTAAACTGAACTTCTCAGTGTATTTGTACAAATACAGAATCCCCTAGTGAGGGGTGAGAGCAGGTGATTGGAAAGACAGAGTGGGGAACTAAACAGCAGGTCTGTGATTATCTCATGAAGCTGAACATTAATTGATGTGTGGTGGTCTTTCACTTCCTATCCCTTAGAAAACCTTGTAGGTTTTGCTTTCATTCTGGTGTCCAAAGGGAAAGTATCTGAAGCCATTAAAATTTTTCAAGGTGGGAAGCGTCTTTCCAGCCAGATATAATTAAGAGCTGAATTTTTTCAGAGGGGCTCCAGCTCTCCAGAATGCTGTGCTGCAGAACTTGGCATGCACTGACCCACATGATCAGAAATGCTCAGTGCAGGAGGGGGGCTGCTGCAACCTGCTGCTATGGCGAAGCTACTCACAGTACCTGACATTGCTGATTTAAAGATAGCTTGATGTGTCTACATTGATTTCATTCACAGTACTGACTTTCTTTCCATGGATACAGCAAATGGTAGGTAGCCTAATTGATTACCCATATTTTTGATTAGCATACGTTGCTTCTTGTCTTTTCTTGCTTTTCTTCTTTAAGAAGAAGTTAGATATTCAAGGACATATATAATCCATATGTATTTATGAGTTAAATAAGAAGTGAAATTCTAGACCTTGTATTGGATTTTATACTAGCTAATGCAGAAATCAAGTGGATGTAACCATTGCTCCAAGTTTGAGCTTGTAACTCTCTCTGGAAGCTTAAGATTAAGGCTGTGAAAACTTCATAGCCTGAAGAGCACTCCTGGATCACATCCTCTATATCAGTGACAGCAGGATTCAACCACCTTATCAAAGCTTTCATTGTTTGATCACTGGACTGTACATCATCAGAACCAAGAATTTTCTTCATAAATGAATTCTTAGCAAATTGACAGCATCTACCCTACCTCATCCTTTGCAATAGTGCAAGGAGTGTTACAGCTTCTTCTGTTGCATAATAAAATGGCTTGATGGGAAAACATCAGGTCTGATTTTAACAGGATTTGATGCAAGTGTGTTCCTAGAGTTTATTTTGTTTTACTGAATCTCATCCTCTGCATCTCTCCTGAGCTTTAGCTGGGCTTCAGCCATTGAATTTTATTAGCTTCAAAATTTCATGGCTGTGCAGTTCACTGGCAAGGAACAAAAGTTATTGCAACGGCTTTAATAGGAGTGTATTTTTTTCATCCTCAGTTTAATGGAGGTTTCAGTTACGGTTTCTTTTAAAATGCCATTCTTAAAACACGAACAGGTCCAATTATTCTACTAAGAACTGTGGACATTGAAGATATGTGTTGATGATTTGCATTATATTGTATTTAACAAGCTGAGGATTTGAAGCCAAAACTATTGGGAATTGTATCCAGCAGTATTTTTAGGGAAAATCTTATCTATAAATAAGAGAGAAGGATCTCATTACATCTCCCAAGGATCCAAGCAAATGAGTTTGACTTGGTTTTGGTTGTTTTGTTGGGTTTTTTTTTTTTGTTTCTTTTTTTCTGGGGGGGTGTGGGGTGTGGGGTGTGTTGTGGTTTTATTTTATTTTTTTTTTTAAGGAGAAAAAGGATTGAAGGGAGCATACAAGTGGCATTTTCTCATCACCAGGGCATTCTTTGACTACTAAACAGTTTGAGGTCAGCAGTATGGACCTGGGAATCTTCTTTTGCACATTTTTCCCTCTTTTGTGTATGGCATGCTTCTTAGCTCAATACACAGGGCCAATCTGCACTGTGCCTTTACTCATTTGAAACCATAGCACAGAGAAGGCACTTCTGAATTTTTTAAGACATTTTAGCTCTGGCTGAGCATTCAGCAGGAGGGACTTGGGATGGTTCCAGCAAAGCCACTCTTTCCAGTAGTCCTAGTAACAATAAGCTAATGCTGTGCAGGACCTGTTTGGGTCTTACAAAACCAGGTGAGGTCCAACAGGGTTTACTAGGTTTCTGTGCTGTGCTTAAGTACTACTCTGCTTTTCTTCACCATGGAAGTGCTAATGCTGTGCTGCACCTAAGCAGATAGATCTTGTTGAAGCTAAGTTGCCTCTGTATTTAGTTGTAGTATGGGTATCTGCAGCTGCATCATGGCTGATTTACATCTTGGATAAAATGGCTTGAGGCAGCTGAAAGTGGACTGCTCAGATTCACATGCAGTTTTCACGCTATTATACTTCCATAAGGAAATGTGGGGAATGCAAGCAGTAGAGAGAGATGATGGTTTAGAAAAGCTAGTTTGGCTTTCGGTCACCAAGGAGACTGATACCCACAGTGTGAGAGAGCTATGTAGTGTAGCTTTTCAGGTAATAGTTGGACACTTGGCCATCTTTGTCATTTACAAGAATGAGGCTGTGTGTGTTTGACAGCCACAGGGTAGTTCTCTGCTACTTTTTTCAACAGCAGCAGATCTGGCAAAAGTGAATGCCACTGGTCTCGTTCCTGGGATTCTGTCATCTCTGTTAGACCCCAATTTCATAACATACCAACACCAGAGGCTGAGCCACTTGAAAGACTCTCTGCCTCCCTGCCCTATTCACTGGTTCCCTTCCATCCTCATCCCGTGATTCACTATCCACTCATTTTGCTAAGGGTTGCCGTTTGAGAGGATGAGTCATACGCAGTATCTGTTACCTGCCTTTAAATCTGTCCTCTTAAAAATAAATAAATAAATAAATAAATAGTTATTCTCTGTTGGGGATCGAAATAAGTGCAATTATGTCTTTGTTACTGCTTAAGAAAATATACACAGAACCTCAACCTTAATTAAACGCTACGATTAAAGTAAATGCTGGGACAGACAAACAGACAGTTTCTACATTTTTTGATGCATTGAAAATAATTTGGTTTTTTTTCAGCATTGCTTGAGAAACCCATCAGCAAAAGGCGAGACAGTGAAGCTGTGCAGAAGGCCAAGATCCTTTATGCATCCTGCATGAATGAGAGTAAGTGGCCTGATTTGAGAGGAACACATATATATTACCTGTGTTTATAAAGCAGGCTTTTTCGCTCTCTGCTGAGGACAGTAAAGCTTTGTGCAGAGGCACAGATTTCAGTGATTCAACTGAACATGGAGGATTTTCTACATATTTCTGAAGGTGTCTATCAAGACTGAGGTACACCAAGGCACAAGAAGTCAGTTTTATGGAGACCTCTGCTTGTCAGAAAACTGTGAAGGGATGTTTACCTCTGCAAAAGTATGCCAAACCATGCCTTGGAGTTGTGGGGGTAGCGCCTAGTAAATCAGCGGAATCCTCTGATGAAATTTCATACTGACACTTTCAAGACCCTATTGCTTAGTATCTTCTACCTTTCTTTAAATTTACTTGATCAAAACTCTTCCACAGGGCTGGGTACAGACAGCCCGTGACTCTTTAGCTTAAAATGAACTAATGAGCCAAGCAAGTCTGGAGAAGGACCCATATAGCCACATATGTGGAATGATTTTCCTGAGTTTGAAATGTTGCTGTAAGGTGATGCACACTAGTCTGGGACACATCACTACCTTATGTATCTGCATGGGTGAAAGATGAGTTGGGAGTGCCCTTTGTCCTGACTCTTTCAGACTTTATTTCCTGCACAATTTTCTTACAGCACAGCCTGAGACTGACTGTCAGCAATTGAGACAGCCTGCCCTGCAACCTCGGTGCCAAGATGCTGACCTCTCTAGCTTTGATTAAGTACAATAGCTCCCTCCCAGAAATAGTGAAGTTCCTATGCTCGTTCTTAAGTGAGGATTTTTTTTTTTTTAATTTATTTAATTCTAGCCCTTTCCCTTTTTGAAAGGCACTGATTTGTCTCTCTTTTTCTTGATGCAGATAAACTGGTTTGGACTCCCATTCTTCTGTGCTTACAGGAATAGCAGAGCCTTTGGGTTTCAGCTTTTGTGCTTTGTCTTGCCTAGAAGTCAATCAACACCGATAAATCTTTGTGCTTGTGCGGCTGCCACTGGATTTGAATTGTCTGGAATGTAATTGTTGTCATACTTTGACATTTCAGATAAAATTGAAAAAGCTGACGTGAAACCCCTGTTAAGTATACTGAGACACTCACCTTTCCAGTGGCCTGTGCTGGAATCCAACATTGGACCTGAAGGGCTATGGTCAGAAAGGAGGTTTAGCTTAGTCCAAGCCTTGGCAACTCTTCGTGGTCAACACAGTAACTCTGTCTTCATCCGTTTATATGTGGCTGCTGATGACAAAATCTCCAATCGTTATATCCTGAAGGTACTGGATAACACATCTAATGGGTTACTTTGCATGGTATCTTGTGGTCTCATTTTTTAAAAAACATGTTTGCATACCAAATGTTTACACTTGATTATTGTTGGTGTTATCTACTGATTTACAGATGAACATAGGAGGTGATTTGTGGGAAAGTAGAAACCACTAGGAACCACATGCTATTGAAAAATATTTCTGTAAAGGATATTTTCTTCTTTCAAATGACAAACAAGGTAAAAAGTTCTCATTGGACCAATGTTCAGGGTGTAGGTACATGAAAATGAGAAAGGCGCACATCTAGTCCAGGTGGTGTTCTTGTGTGCTGCTTATGACTGCTGCTTATGACTCATCAGTTACATGAAGAATGTTTTGTGTTTGTGAAGATGAAGAATGGTGCATCAATAGCATATAGCTTGAGCTATTTTTCTTGAGATAGAAACACATTGCTTTGTGCCTATACTGCATATAATAGCACAGGTGTATCCCAAGCACTATTAAACCTGAAATACAGGATTGATCCTGTTACTGAAATGTTATAGCTTTTGGACCAAAGGGTTACCAGTTTGTTAATAGTGCATGGCATTACACAACAGTTTAGATTACTGAGGAAAAGACCCTAGAAATGTTGCCTCACTGTAGTCTGACAAAACTCCAGGGAGAGTTTTATTACTGTGAGATGTCACTGTGGCAAGAGTGATTGCCTGGGCCGGATGCATTGCTGTTTAAGAAGTACAGATCAGTAGCCAGAGCAGACCAGCCCTACACTGCTACAAGAAAATAGTTTATGAAAGCAAGAGCGAAAGGACAAAGAAGAAAGTTATGATGCCATTCATCACAGCAAAATAGGATCTATGATCCTTACATTGCTAGCATCTTGGCTAGTTGTAGGGATGTAGTCAGGAATACGCTGTACTTGAGGATCAAACAGCAGTTAACTGTGGTGGTACTAGAGTGGATGTTGATTCTGAGACAGTTTTTTGAAATGCCTTTTGACTGAGGCATTAACCTGGTATATATTTGAAGGGTAACTTTTCCCCATCTCTAGGACATTTTCCTGAATAGTCAGGTCAACAGCAGATCAACAGTTCTCTGTATTAAAGATGTCACACTGCTAAGACATTGTTCAGATCCTGTGAGGACCACTTTGCCTGGAGATTTCTTTAAAAGAACTGAAACAGTAGAATCAGGAGAGCTATTTAGTTGTCTCTTGTCATGATATTTCAGGCCAAGTCACCTGTCAACAAAAGGCTGGGCAGTTATATCCTTGTTCCTGGTCTCTTGGAAACAAAAGTATCACAGTATCACAGTATGCTAGAGATTGGAAGGGACCTCGAAAGGTCATCTAGTCCAATCCCGCTGCCGGAGCAGGAACACCTAGATAAGGTTACACAGGAATGTGTCCAGGCGGGTTTTGAATGTCTCCAGAGAAGGAGACTCCACAACCTCCCTGGGCAGCCTGTTCCAGTGTTCCGTCACCCTCACTGAGAAGAAGTTTCTTCTCAAGTTTAAGTGGAACCTCTTGTGTTCCAGTTTGTATCCATTACCCCTTGTCCTATCATTGTTTGCCACTGAGTAGAGCCTGGCTCCATCCTCGTGACACTCCCCCTTTATATATTTATATAGTATCTTCACTCAGTATGCTTAGTGGCACCTAAAAATTAGACATCTAAATAACTGAAGCACTACGTGGTATAAATGATCTATTATTCCATAGGGTATTCTGTTGTTGTAAATTTTACTAAATCTTGATCTGCAGAATGTATCCAACAGTATTTGACTTTGTCCGTGTTTTAACAAATTCCCAGGGGAGCAGAGTAATACCACAGAGTGTTTCAAATATGCCTGTGAAAATGGCTCTATTGCAAAATTCTTTTTGTTCAGCATTGCAAAATCATGAGTGGATCAGACAAAAAGTAGAAATTCCAAATAAAACTTTGTTCAGGTTTCAACATGGTCTTTTCTTTTTTTTTTTTGAGAGCTGAAGAAGTTGGTGAACTTTTTTGTTTATATTTCATATTTGTGCTTCTTGGTTTCAATGTGTTGTCAAATGTAACCCTTCAGCCAGGAAAATTTGGATAAGCATTTTATGCAACAATCACATAATTGAAATAGATCAAATCATCTGAAGTTGACTATTACCAGGACACACACATGCAGAGCATAAGAGTATATTATTTTTACTTTGATATGAAAAACGAAGGTGATATTATTTTTCAAAGAATCAGGGTTGCACTGAGCATCACAACTACTCTCCTTTTAGTGGGTGGTTTATTTATTTATTTATGGTATGCTTTAAAGGTTGAGAACATCAACAAGTAGAGGAAAAAATGACATTCATTAATTCATTTTTAGATTCTAGGTTGTATTTATTTAGGTCATTTTTATAAATGTAGAAAATGTGAAATATAAATGATGCAGGATTTAGATTAAAAAAGACTGTGAAATTATTTTAATAAATACACTCTCTCTTCACTAGACTTATCTTGTAAAAGCAAATACAGCATCAAAATAACAATTTTAAAACATCAAAACTGTTCTTTCTGCTCTAGTTAGTATCTTATTCAGAGTCTGGATGCTGGCTGAATTTTTTCAGCTTCAGCTTCCATACCCTAACTTGACCTCATTGAATTGAAATATTTTTAGAAATCTCAGTTTCCAGTGGTGATTTTAAGATAGATGCTGTGCTGTGAATTTTGCCTGGTGAGGAACTTGAAATAGTAAGCAAATTCTCCCATGTAATCATTTCACACAAAAGGCTAAGCGCAGATCTCAATGAACTTTCAGGTCTGGTTTAATTATCTTGAGAACCTTACTCCAATATATGGGTGACTGTAGAACAACAAATTTGATCCATGTTTAAGTCAAAAATATAAGTAGAAGTCAAAGATCCACCTGGAATTACCAGACGTTTTTAGCTAGTGTACTGGAGGCATAGCAATTTCCTGTGCATAAGGGCAGTAATTTCTGTGGCTAATATCCAGCTGCTTTAGTACATCTGTTCAATAAACCCAAATACAGCACTTAGTGCTGGTCTAGGGTGAAGATCAAAAGTGTAACCTAATTTTGATCAAAAAGGTTAGTGATGCTTTCCAGATACACAGCAGCAAATATGCTCCTGTACCTAATGAGAACTTGGTCCATGTACTAGACTAGTGTTTGTCTCAAGCTGACTGTTGTACCCCGGAAATATCTATAGGATGAATGGTCATCACCACCAACTGTAGACCCAGTGCTAGTGCATTACCTGCTTGCTAACAGAGTCATAAACACATACATTGTGTAGGTGATTCTTTGCTGTAGTATGTGGCTCAGATATTGCAGTGGGCATCTGAGGCTTCCCAGATCACAGTGATGTGATTTAAGTATTGTCTGTCAGCACAGTATAACATTTTTCTGTTGTTTTGAAATCCTGTGAAACTTAGGCTGGTGCAATGTATTAAGCATTAGATATTTTCACACATCTACCATAACTGCCAGAAGAACAAACCTTGCAAGGTTTCTTACTGGGCTACCTTTGAATTCTGATGAATTTACACACTGAACGCTGCTTGTCATTTTTAACAGCTTGACCAAGCAAGCCTCTCTCTTGCATCTCGAGAGGATTACCTGGAGAACACCACAGAAGCCAAATCTGTAAGTATCATTAACAGGACATGAGAATGACTATTCCCCCCCCCCCCTCCATTTTTTCCATTGTTGCTTTTTTTTCTCAAACTCCAGACTCAGAAAGGAATGCAGCTTGTTTGGATCAAAATTTTTCAGGGTATCTTCTATCAGAAAATACCACCACTACAAACACTCTTGCAAAATTTCTCAAATGAAGATTTTTGTAAGACTTGGGGTCCCCATGCTTTTGTTCTTTCTTGGAAGGGGCCTCCAGAGTTCAACTTGTCCAACCCTCTGCTCAAGCAGTGTTGATGTCTGGAGTACAATACTAGTGACTGTCCTCCAAGTCTTTGTGCTGCTGATCACAATCCTCTGGATCTGACTCGGCTCGTTTTCTATCCACTTCAATGTGCACTTCTCTAACCTGTACTTTTTCAACCTGGTAAACAACCAGAACTGCTCTCCTGTCTTTCACCAAGAAATTAATGTAATTGTAGAAAGTAATCAGGTAGGTTAAGTATGATTTTCATACACATTGTCTAATCCCACTTTAAGAGATGTAAGTGTTGTCAGTCTAATCCAGAAGTGTCATTTGCATTCCCTGAGATTTATACTCCGTGAACCACAGTGGGTATCTCTCTGTTATGCGCAGTATGTTTACAGTGTTATTTCTCCTTTTTTCCTTGATGACAGCTGGCATTCAATGTAAGGAAAGGACAATTTTGGTTGCTAGGTCATGAAAGTACAAAGTATTATACACTTTGCAATAGCTGGGCATTTCTGGTCTACTGCTACAGCTGTGCTCACAATAAATCCAGTGGTAATTTTACTCTTTTTGTTTCTTTACAGTATCGAGATGCCTTTTTGCAGTTCATGGTTGATACAGCAGTGCTTCTGGGAGCAAATGCTTCACGAGCTGAGTCTGATATGAAATCGGTTTTAAGACTAGAAGTTAAAATAGCTGAGGTTGGTAACCTAATGCAGGCCTGAAGCTAGCTTTTACCTCACAAAAGTGCAATACTTCTTCAAAATGAAAAGCCATTATATCAACAACCTTAGCAATAATTTTTTCAGTCTAGCCTTGAATACTGCCAGGGATGGAGCATTTACCACTTGATGGAGTGTCTACCACTTCTTTGGGCAACCTGTTCCAGTGCCACCCTATGTTAACCAGACTCACTAGAGGTAAGCCTAGGGTTGTCATTCCAGTGTTTGCAGGACTGTGCTGACAAGGTTGCTTGATTTGCCGTCTCAGTGGAGGTAAAGGATGGAGATCCATGCGGCAGCAAAGACACAAGGGTTATTGATCTATTGGAAACCATAGAAACACCTGAGAATGGTCATGTAGGAATTTGGGCTTCTCCCCCTCCAAAATGTGGTGGCATCAATAGCTCAACTCAAGTGCATCTACACCAATGCATTGAAAGCCACTGTGCAGCTAGAAACCTATGATCAATGGGCTGATGCCAAGTGTATGAAGTTTTAGATTGTATATTAGGAAAAATCTCTTCACCAAAAGGGTTTTCAAGCACTGGAACAGGCTGCCCAGGGAAGTGGCTGAGTCACCATCCATGGAGGTATGTAAAAGATGTGCAGATGAGGTGCTTAGGGACGTGATTTAGTGGTGGACTTGGCTGTGCTAAGTTTACAGTTGGACTCAATGATCTGAAAGGTCTTTCCCAACCTAAACAATTCTGTGAGTCTATGATTCTATAATTTTGAGCTTGGGCAGAATTTGAGTCCCTGATGTGCAGTTATGTTGAGAATACTTTACCATGTATTCAAGAATCAGATCAGGCTGATTCTCTGAACAGTCTAAAAGCAGTGCAACACTGAGGTGTGACATTGCTGCTTGATAGCGAGAGGGCAGTGGTTACAGTCACATGGCAGTTAGCTCCTGAATTGCTTCAAGGGGCACCTTTGGAGAGGGGCCGAGAAACTCCATGAATTTTGATTTAGCAGACCAACTGAATTTGGTAAAGCTAAGCAGAGTTAAACCTGGTACTTGGTTCTGACTTATTTACTTGGTGACATTATTTACCCCCTTGTGGATTTTAATTTATGCATTAGGACTATTGCAGGCTGAAGGAGCATTTCTGCTTCCCCATAGCCCTGTTTCAGTATGGCTGCTGCAGGAATCCTGTTCCTCAGAGCTGCAAATCCACTATCATTTCCACTTCTTCTAAAGCTAGAGAGAAGAGTTAACCTCAGTGTTGGGAAAACAGCAAAAGTTAAGGCTACAAACTTGACACTGATTTGCAGAACTGTCAGCTGAGCTATTCCTTCATATCACCATGGAAATAAGCTATCCCTTGTGAAATGCTGAGTATCCTGTTAAAAGAGAAACCTGTTTCATAGGACAGGTGATGCAGCAGAGTACTTTTCCCCTGGTTCTGCTGTTGCAGTCTGCAGGAGGAAAGGCAGTGATGCTTCTTAGTGGTTTATACAGAATTGAGGGTCATTAACAGTAGTAGTAAATCAGTGTTTTCATCTCTGCCAAAAGAGATGAAATTTTGCCGGACTCTTAAATAAAGTCCAATATTCAGCTTCAGATATGCAATGTAGATGGACTAATGAGCATATACTTCATAGTGACCCAGTAGACTTGAAAAACAGAAACTGGTTTTTGTGTTTATTGGTGATGTGATAAGAAGATGCATTGCTGCTTCTGGTAACTCTAATGCTTTACTTAGCAAATGTCTTACAGAGCTTTAACCCACAAAATATATAGGTGCAGTTACCATATACAATGACATGGATCATGTAATGCATAGTCATGCAACTGTCATTTTCTCAGGTTCTGTAATGCATAATTATGCAAGAAGCCACACTTGACTTGCTCATGGTTACCTAATTTCTCTTTAGTATGAATACTCTTAAAATATATCTAGATTATTAGGCATGAGTCCAGGGACAAGGGTTTTGGATAATCCCTAACGAGCACAATGATTTGTATAAACATTTACCATGATTTCGAAGGAGATCTGTTTGTTTCTTCTAGGCTTCTACTATATTCTGTGCTCCTCTGCATTCATTTTAAGTGAATGTATGTAATGGAGAATTTATGTGTCCAGGAAGAGACAGGAAGGATAAAGGAAGGATACTTTGGATATAGGAAGAAGTGTCATGCTTCAAGAGAGTTTATTACATACAAGGAAGATTTCAATTAGGTTTGAATTTCTGGAGGAAGGGGAAAAGATTCGAGAGGAAGGGAGCAGACAGGTTCAAGAAGAGTTTAGAGACTTGTCAGGTAAATGAAATTAGCAAAAAGGGAGAAGAAAGTTATATTTTTTTCTGAGTGGCTTGAGCAATAGTAAAACCACAGGCACTTACTGGAGAATTCTGGTTGGAGAACCACCAGCTGTATGGTTACTCTAGCGTCGACCTCTGTCCTCTTTAAACTGCATAGCGTACAGCCTGTCATATAAGATTTACCTTAGAGCAGGGATGGAATTGCCATCAGGAATTCTTGTTTCTCTTGAACACTGAGAAAATTTTGAGCTCTGTCTTGTGCTTGTTTTTTTTTTTCTCTTATGAATCATACTGCCATCTTGGAATCTGAATGTCCTTTGTCAATTACGAAAGGACTTGTTTTGTGTTTAGGGTTTCTTTTTGCTGTGTCCTTGGGCTTTGGCACTAGAGAAAATCCTGAGGGCTGGCTCCTCTGGTCACCCAGATGAGAGACCTAGTTGGAGAATGCTTTAGATCATGTGTGGCCTATATACCCAGGTTTTCTGGTAATGAGGATGGTGGAGTAAAGTGAAGAAATACTTGTATGTATCTGGCTCTTCCCTCAGATGGAGACAGGCCATAGCAAGAAAGTGTTCAAATCCAAGAGACAAGATGCAATTCCACCATACCTATCTCAGATTTGACCTTTTAAACCATATAGTTTGGAGCTGGCTTCTACCTGACATGATGGGGTGAATAAATATTAGTGGTCTCAGTATGCTTTTACCTCTTATGAATCAGCATGCATTTCCTTAGAACAATCAGAGCTAAAATTGGTCTAATATGTTGAAAGAAGACATGCAGCTCATTAAATTTCCCAGTAATGAGTTAAACTGGCAATGGGCTGTGTTCCATTTCTCCTAGTTAAATGTCATCCTTAGAAAAGGAAGTTAATGTTTTGCTTGGAAAGCAGGTGGTGAGATATTTCTGCACTAGGATTTATGATGGACAGCAATAATGTAAGAGCAGGTACTTACCTTATTTTGATGATTTTGGTTTGGTTTTGATTTTTTTTTTTTTTTTTCCCCAGATCATGATTCCATACGAAAATAGAACAAGTGAGGTGATGTACAATAAAATGAACATATCGGAGCTTAGTGCCATGATTCCACAGGTTCGTTGGGAATAATTGCAAAGCTATTCTTTTAATGTCTAACCTATGTAATTTAGATTGCCTTTAGTGGTCAGAGCAGCATGTTAAAGGAACATCATCAGGAATGTGTGTACTCAATTATGGCAGATGTCATTTTAAATACAGTTACGAGTTTACTGAGGTTTGAAAACACATGTAAAGACAAAATGAGATAGTTTCTAAAGTCTTCATAAGATTTGAGACCATTGCTCTCAATGGTGCACTTTAGTTAATAAATCATCTGTCTTCATAATCTGCTTTAACCAGCCTCTCTTTTGTCATTGCAGTTTGACTGGCTGGGATACATCAAGAAGGTGATTGACACCAGACTCTATCCTGAGCTCAAAGATATAGGTCCTTCAGAAAATGTGATTGTCCGTGTTCCCCAGTACTTCAAAGATTTATTCAGGATACTAGAAAATGAAAGGAAAAAGTAAGGATCCTATGATAGTTTCACGCACATTTATGAGAGGACATCGCTTTTCCTGTTTTTCTTTTTTTTTATTTGCTTTTTTTTTTTAATGTGTTTCAGATAATCTTGGAATCAAGTCTCTAGGCAAAAGGTCTGTTTGGTTTTTTCTGAATGAGGATATAGATATTAGCTTGTGTGTAGCAGGAGAATTTGCAGTTTCAACACCTTAATTTATGGAAAACGTGTTGCATTAAAGCTGCTCTTTGCAGGTGCATTCAGCATCTCTTACTTTTATGGGGTCTTGTACATTGTCAGATTATTTACACCCATAGGACATAGTTGCAACATGCAGGTAGCTTAGATTAAACATAGTAGATGTGCTTTGCACAGGGAAGCAACACACCTTTGGGCAGTGTGATGAAAAAGTGTATGTGAACATGACAACCGATTTCAAAACATCATTATTGATGTCATCCAAGTGATCTCTGTTGGGGCATGTCTCTGAGCTTTTAAAAAAATATTGTTAGGCTGTTGTTTCAAAAAATAATTTTTTGCTGATTATGCAGTACTGCCACAAATAAGCTTATGTTTCAGAAAAAAAGACTAATTCAGAAGCATTATATTGTTGCTCTGTGTCTCCAGTGACAGAATGTTTACATTAATTTGTAGTACCTGTAAAAATAACACAGAAATTGAACAATACAAAAAATAAAAATGATTGATCTGCCTTCAGATAAACAAAACATCCTTTCTTTATAAAATTCTAACAGATATCATTAGTGTGCCACCAATCTTAATCTACTGAAGAAGGTCTTCTAAATATTTTGGGCTGTCCATGCTTTTTTGTATCTCATAGTTAGTTACGTCACTGGGTATAAAGTGGTGATTTAAGAGGATGTGTATATAGCAAGACAACAGATAATTAGCTATTGCCTCTCTACAAATGCACTTAAACACAAATTTATTCCGTAACTACAGGGTAAATACCTGGAGACTTTTCCTGTTAAGGTCTTATTCAGGGAAAATCTGAGTACTGAAGAGGAGTTAAGCCAGCTGGTGACATGACAGAGGGAGGCTGGAATAATGACTAGAGAGAATGGCAATGCCTGTCTTCAGCAGAGCCCAATACCAGCTTCCTGACTCACACAGGTCAGGAAGTGGGCAAAAGCAGAAGTATATTCATGCTGCATATCTTACAGATGATAATGGTTTGGGCATTTTCTTCTCAGTCTTACTGTTAGAAATTTGCATCATGAAATGTTAGAAGTTGCAAATAGCGCTAAATTCAACCCAAGCAGGCTTCAAATTCTTGTTTGTAAAACCCATCCAAACAGTCTCTGCATGGTAACAAAGATCATGTTTATATGTTAGATGATGATTTTCATTACTTAAAATGTCACAGTCTGCTCCAGAAGTAACCTTGTTATCCGGTCTGAGAAAATTAGGAAATCATCTTAACGTGAACTCCTAACAATGAGGTCTTAACCTTTCCATGTAATGCAAACTCTGAAAGCTAAGAAAGGGCATTTTCTTTCAGGTAATCTCATTTCTTGTTCTCCATATGATATTTTAAAGGTTAAATTAATGCAAACAACATGAATTTGGGTTTTTACTGCAAATATCTAGACCAATCGAATTTGTAGTAAAGCATTCCCAAATTTTGGATTTACTTGAGTGATTAGAATGCCAATTAACTTCTCACCATTTCAGGAGATGCAGCGTCATTAGAAGAAGCAGGTACTTTCATCAAATTCATATCATTTTCCATTACAAACCTTCTATCCCTAAAGTATACTTTTATTCCAATGCCTTGTGTGTCCCCTTCCCAGATGAGCAACCTGCTGTCATAGGTACTATTCAAAATGGCAGAAAAAAGTAAGGATCTGTCAAAGTACTCTGTGAAATTTGTTTCAGGTGGAGGGAAGAATGGAGGGAAAATTAAGTCTAGTTACAGAAGCTGTTCTTCATGATGAAGGTGACAAGCTGTGCGGACTCACAATAATCATATTAAAAATTGCTTCCTTGGAGAACCTGCTGAATAATCTTGAATTGTGAAATCATTCACATGGCAATATTATTAGAAAATAGCACTTTGGCAGGCTGTAGAGTGAACTTTGTAGAATGAGGAAGTTATCTACTTGACAACCCTGCTGCATATAATCATGTTACTGTGTAGAGTTTGAAGTATGTGTAGCTGTGTAGTTTGGAGGTCTGTCTGAAATTCCCAAGCCAGGGCACTCCTGTGAATCCAGCCTAGGAGCATGGCTGTCTGTTGAAAGCTGCCCAAGAAGCTGGGTAACTAGCCTAGCAGGAGTTTCCATTAGCCCTGAGCTAGGAAATTTAAATCATGCCAGGTGTTCAGTGCTGAAATCAAACTTTGTAAGAAGTCTTCAGGGATTTCTTTAGTTTTTTAAGGTACTGACTAATTTTAAATGGAGTTTATATCTATTACAGGAAGAAGAGTATTGTTGAAAACCTAGATGTAGCTGTGGTATCAATAAGATAATGGCAGAGCTCAAATACAGCTGTGCCATGTAAGACAATAAACAGGACTGCGCTATCACCTCTTGGGAGCCCCTTATACCCCTTCCCTTTTTACTTGTGTGCTGGGGCTTTATGTGTAAGCTGTAAAGAGGACACAGTATATTGTGTCATTGTTGGAAATGTTTTCAGCTGTTGAAGGAAGCAGCTTTATCATTCTCATGGATGTCGGAATGAATAACTGGTTTCCTTTGCCTTACCTTACCCTCCATCTTTATAGTGTAGGACAATTAATAGAGAAGCACATTGTAATTCCTGAAGCATGAGAGGCATTTTCTTTAGGGAGGGATGGGGGCACTAGATCTCCTTTCTGGTCTTCACATCCTCTGAAACATTAGAGAGAAGTTACAATAGCTTGAGTTGAACTAGTGCCTCTAGCAATAGAGGTGGAATTTTTTCAGTACTTATAGTTTGATTCCTGACTCAATTCTGAATATGATTTTCAAACAGATCTCAATATTTCTGAAAGGGATTTTTTCCTTAAAATGTCAAGTAATTTGTCCATCTATCTCATATTTAATCTATCCTCTTTAATTACTACAGTGTCTGTTGATTAAAATATTACAAATTCACAAAATTTCACATCAGCAATCTACTTTATTCCCAGACAGGGTAGAGAGTTCCTTAGTAAATATTCATAAGATGTGGTGTAATTTTAACTGTCCCAGCAAACAAGCTCTCTACCACTTCCTGTGGGAGTGTGTATCACACTAATGGTCATATTGGTTAAGAGCAAGCCTACGCTTTCTGTAACAGTCTTTTTGATGTTAAAATAGGGTACTATGTACTGTACTCTTCTGACAGGTTACAAAAACAAATGCCCTGATTTTATTGAAAGAATAGAGAAGATTTTTATGTTTTATGTGTGCGTTGGATTTTGCTCTGACCCTCAGTGTACTTACTTGTGAAACTGGGATGAAAATCACCTCAAGATATCACTGTTGGCATTTACTAACCAAAATGTGTCGGTTTCTAAACCAAATGAAGATGACCAATTAATTTTGTATAGTTAGCCAAAAAAGGTAAAATGATCATCCCCAAAATAGGTAAACAAATTCAAACAAAATATGATTTCTTTTTTGTTTTGAAAAACAAAATAAAGAACACTGCCCCTCGAAGAAACTTACAACAGCAAAACCCCTCATGCTTTGCCCCCATTGCTGCCCTCCATCAAATAGACATATCTGGGCTTTGAAGCAAAGCCTTCCTATTGTTTTTTGGTTTTTTTTTTTTCATCTTATGCATTGGCGAATTCTGGTGTGATTGCAATCAGGAATTATTATAATCTCATCAGGCGACTTGGTTTTAGGATGTGTCAGCCTTCTTTCCCTTTCCAAATTAAAACAAACCTCAATTAGTTGTGAGATATTTCCTGAAACTGACAGCTGCCTTCATTATTTACGTCTGATACAAAAGTTTCTGAATTCCTGTTGGCATTAGTGTCTGTGAATAAGTCACCTTTTGGAGACTCATCCTTGACATATTTTAGTCTTTTATACACTACCAATTTGACAGAGATTCCCCAGCTTAACCAGAAGGAAAAACAGCACTGGATGAGAACAGGAAGCACACAGAATGGAGAATTGATTTTTTTTTTTTTTTGGTAGCAATTAAATACTGAATTGTAACCTATAATTGGTTTATGATAGAGATCTGTTTAGCTGGGGTTTTTAACCTAAGACTTTTAATCGAAATGAAGTCTTTAAACCTTTTAGTCTTTAGGACTTGCATAAGTACTGTTGTAGATCCACAGAGTAGTTACAGCAGGAGCATGGATGCTATTCAGCTCTGCTGAAAAACATGAGGCAGAGTTGTGAGGCTTGTGGAGTTCTAGTCATTTACAAAAACAACAAGAGCTGAGCATTTTTAGGGTGCTTCAGTTGCTATTGAGTAAGGAAATTCCACATTGTCAGAAATATGTTAAATGGAAGATCTATACTTTCTGGTATTTCATAGGTTGGAATTAATTTTTGATGACCCTAAAGCATTATCTCAGAATGGTTTGATCATCTAAGCAGAGCTAACTGTTTTAAATTTTGTAACATGTACTGTGTTATAAATGTACATTATTCATGCTAAAAAGAACTTTTTTGGATCCGTTTTACAATTGTTGTGGGAATTTGTGTATACTATATGATATATCTGTATACTAAAAGATGGAATATGTCCAGTGTGAGAGACGAAGTGTATAACAGGCAGGATTTATATATACACCACAGCAATTCTCTACTCTCCTGTAGAAGCTGCACTGGTCACAAAGACCAGTAAGTATCAAGCCTTTGAAGTGGCAGTTGGCTTGAGATTGCCACCCATCTGCTCTTGGTGTAGTGTCCCACTTGGATGTGTACATGCTGCTGAAGTTACTGGGTCATCATGTGCTCAGTCACCTATAGAAAATATGTAGTTATAGTTTGCCTTAAACCTCTCCATTCTCACCTCTTGGTCACCCAGCCAGGGAGGTGATAAAGAGTATAAGCTTCCATCAACATATCCTGAGCTGGAGGCTTTGTGTGGGTGTATTGGAGCCTGGCTAGAAGCAGTCCATAGCAGCATATTTGCTGCAAAGGAGCAGTTTTCCTCCCTATGGAGAAGTTTGTGGCCTACCCCAAATGTTATATATATCCCAATGTAGAGCAAACAACACGTGGATATCCATAATCTTAGAGCAATGGCTATCCATGCAAAATATATTGTGTAACACAAGATGAGAATAATATGTGTAGGTGATTATTGGACTTGTTTTGGGGCTGAAGTTGAATTGCATATTTCACAATGCACATTTACCTCACAGAGCCACTGCTGAGCATGGGGAGAGCTCTCAACCTAGACTAGATAAATCCTCCATTCAAGCGCTTGAAGTTTTAGAAAAGGGACATAGGTGTCAGGTCTCCTGGGAATTTTAAACAAGTTCTTCCAGGATCTCTCAGCCTCACTTTTTATGATTGTTGTTACCGAGACCTCAATTTTTGGTATTTCAATTATTCATCTGACAAAATAAGAGGGGTAGTACTTTAATAACTGTATGGGTAGTAAGAACTTCTAAAAGCATACTGATAACTTATAATGTAAGATACGAATATGAGGTATTGATAGGATATTTGAGATGAACTGTTATCTATTCTGTTTCATAGTTATGATTTATGTGGTCTAGCAATGAAGAGAGATAACATTCACTTTTATTTACAAAAGAAAAAAGAGTTATTTTCTTATCTCTGGATAGAACTTTTATGCAACTCTTCTTATGACATGTTTCTTGCCACTTCTATAGAAAACAAAAAAGGTCTTTTGAAAAAAATAATTACCTGAAAATAACATACTAAGAAATTGGCTCATTATAAATATCCCCTAGAAGATGATTTCATGGTACAATTACATATTAGGTGATTGCATTCGTACAGATTCTTCTGTGTGATAGGGATTTATCAATTTGGTCGTCACTCATTAATTTTCAAGGTGAAATTTCCACCATTCAGTTGAAATGTTTGCAGAGATATTTATGTGAGTAGTTTGTAGTACCTCATATGCTATTAGATGTCTGATAAAAATATGTCTAATTTAACAGGACTCTTGCTAACTATCTGGTGTGGAGGATGGTTTATTCAAGGTTATTTAACCTCAGCAGACGTTTTCAGTACCGGTGGCTGGAATTTTCTCGGGTAAGTTAGGGCTTTTATAGCATTTACAACAGTACCAGTGTCAATAATATTGGTTTCCCTTACAGCTGCTTATACCTTTGCAAAATATGGAATGTTTTCCATGCTAGGTAAATTTCTTGAATGAACATTTGTTGTTGAAGACTCCCTCTAAACCAATCAAGACATACATATTCTTGCATATGACACAAAGGAAAACTTTTATGTTAAGGAGTTTTTGAGACACCTCTTTAAAAACCTTAGTCTTCGTATGCAGAAACCTGACAGCTGTAAAATTTTCCAGTTAAATGCCAAGGCTGTGACCTGTGCTGTTCCTGCAAGCCAAAATTGTTTAGCCAAAATCCAATTTTAAGAAAAAACTCCTACTGTTTACGCATGCATGAATATAGCTCTGGTAAAACTAAAGTCCAAGATTTCATCTTCTCTGAGCTTGTTCAAACCTCTCTCATGCTCTAGTGCCAGCTTTACATGAGCTCTGGCACATACATACAGCAGCCATTTCTACAGAGAAGCCAATTAGATGCCTTCCAGCCTGGGGCTGCAGAAGCCCCAGAACACATTCGTCACCAGCCCAGTCTGTGAGAGTAGACCTAATTATCTATGAAGTTATATGGGCATTTATGTAAAACACATTTATTTGATTAAGTGAAGCCTGAACAGAAAACCACCCTGATAATCCTATAGGCAGCATAGAGGCTCTTTAAGCAAGCCAAGGATGAAACTGAAACTGAAAGATGCTTTGTCTTGTTTCTAAGCTACCATAGTTTAAAATGTGAACTTTTTGTTTGTCATTGAGAAAATTAGCTGCTTGGTGACATTATGACAACTTGAGTCTGGCATGATGCTGCCAGTGATGTGGTACAGGAGGTGTGGGTGCTCTGTTCTCCCTAGTGAGGCATGCAGGTGCCTAATTGAAGCACCCATAATGTCTTTCCTTGAACAGTAGTGGAACAGTTCTGAGTGGATCACATGCCTAAAAATCAACTCAAATATCTTGATGGAATCTATGCAGGAAAGGCAGTTTCTTACATTTCTGAAATCATATTCAAATCAGTCTTGCTAAAGATACCATTTTCTTCATGCCAAAAATATGAGAAACAGCCTGTCAGAATCACAGCGACAAGTTTGTGTGTCCCCTCCTTGGGTATTCCTAGCTAGCCAGGTAAAATAGATTGATGCTGGCCATTAGCCATTCTGCAGCATAATACTGAGTTATATTGAACTATAATATTGCCAGGAAAATTCCTAAAAGGAAACCTTAAACTTTGAATATTATGCTTTTTGATATGGTAAGTAGCTGTTGACACTGGGTATTTTCTCCAGAAGCTTAAGGATGAATCTAATTCACTTTGATTCAGTCCTTATTAACAATGTCATCAAGGGTTTTCATGTAAGTAGCTGTGAAAACTTAAGAACAGCACAGCAATGGCAGTGAGTCAGCAGCTCATTCCCATTATCTGCCCGTGGGATCTGGAGATGGAGAGTTAGTTAAGTGCAGTAAACAGCAATAGCTAATAGTTAATAGCTAAGGTTAAGTGCAGTAAAGAGCTCAGGGGAACAGACTTCAGAGGTCAACAGAAAGGACATGGGAAATGGAGTCCAAGGCAAAGGTTTGAAAGGCTTTTTTGAATAGATTTGTTCTGTCAGAGGCTGGATGACTAAGGGCACACAGATCCTTTGGGATCGTAAAAGGAACCCAGCAACCTCTTGCCAGGTGAGTGAAGAAAACATTGGATGACTTGTTAAAAGTCATGACCATTAGATGAATCAGTGACCCCTAAAGAAAACGATATAATTAATTAATTAATTCATTCATTCATTCAGCCTCACCCATCATAAACATAGTATTTTTTCACTAGGTTTTCACTTTCTAGTGGTGCTTTTTTACATCTTTGTATTGAGACACTTAAAATCTTTGCAAAGAGAGGAAAAAAGGCATGATGAAACGTCAAAAATCTTCAGGTTGAGAAATAGGACAGACCTGCTGACTCCAGAGAAAATACTTTGATTACCACATCAGCAACTACTAGCAGCTCCTCTGCAGTGGCGCTTTGAGTCATAGCGAATGTGCAGTGGCACCTGGGAAGAGATCAGTTAACTGTGCTGTGGAGCTCTAAATTGACTGGGAGGGCTTGAAACCTGCTATTTATAGTCGCTGTTACTACCTGAAGTATTGTGTTTTAGAGTGGTATATTAATATTAGGAGGACTGTTTTAAGGGAGTTCTAGTTGGCTGTTGTAACATAAATATCAATAAACCAGCTGTGAGGTATAATCCATTCCTCTAGGCTCTATTTTTATTGGTCTCACAGCCTGTGCTGCCTTTCTGTCCTCCTTACAGTCTAGCTGCTCTCAAAATAACGATAATTATTGTGTTGAAATAATAATACGTCACATTCTAAAAGCCAGCTTTGTCTCCTGACTTTTTCTGCGGCTGATGTATAGTCAAAGCTTTTGGAAGGAATTTCAAGCTCTGATGACTAATGCCATGACTCCCTTTCTTTCCCTGCATCAGGAAAAAGCTCTATTGTAGTTTTGCTTGGACCTTGGAGAGAAATTTTCCTCTCTACCTTTTTTTTCTTTTTCTTTTCCTTTTTCTTCCCCCCTTTTTTTTTCCTTTTTTTTTTTCAATGCTTTGTCATATGTTTTAGAAAAGGAGCTTGTTTTCAAACTTGGCTCTATTTAGGAAACTATTACCTTATTATGTATTGGTTTGGCTAACGTGGTTTTCTTACAGAAACAGTGTTCTCTCTGTCATTGAAAATCTATTCGCAAACCTACAGTATTAATAAAGAGCATTTGAAAATGCAATTCACTGGTGGCTTTAAGTACAAGTCATTGATTAAGCTTAATTACAGACAATTTGATGGAGAAAATCAGTCTTTGAGCTACCAAATTATCTAACCTTCAATAGCTGAGGGATAAGCTACTCTGGAATTTTCCAATGGAATCCTTTCCTACTGGAAAACAACAAATCCAAAACCACCAGTTTTGCTAGAAATTTAATCTTGAGCTCAAAGGAGGAGAAAACTGGGAAAAAGGCTCAAAAACTGCTGATCAATGTTTAAAAGGCTTTCATAATCTGTGAAAGGCCAAAATCCCTATCCATCCTAACCTGGTCTGGTGTTGACTGTATTCTGCTTTTGCATAGCTGACTGGTGTTAACTACTGAACTGTGATTTTGCTTATTCTCTGTGAAAAATCTTAAGAAGTTCCTTAAGTGGAAAGGGAACTCTTTGAACCTTGAAAACAAAAAAGAATTTCTTAAATCAGCACTGCTATTGTTTACATGGACCCATCTTGTATTTTGTTGTATTTTCTTATTGTATTTTTTTTTTTAAATGAACTTCTACCTTGATGAGAAAATGTAATGTTGAGGGGGTAAGCAACCGCAGTAACTTTATTCTCATAAGAAACAGAAACAAAAGCAGCAATGTGCTTGAGCTCAGAGATTTGTCATAGCACTTGATGAAAATGTTAATAACTGTATTGTTATTGTTTCCTTTTAGTAACTATTTGACAAGCACACTTTAGACTATCCTGTATACAGATGCAGACTTGTTCTTCTTAAACAGTATAATGTTATGACCTACTATCTACACCTGCCAACAGGTGATCCATGGAACCACAACTTTGCTGCCCCAGTGGGATAAATGTGTGGACCTTGTTGAAAATGCTCTCCCTTATGTTGTGGGTAAGATGTTTGTGAATGCCCATTTCCAAGAAGACAAGAAAGAGATGGTGAGTCCTCTGAGATCTCTGTGGCTTCCTCCTCTCAAATTGCCCCTGATGTTAGATCAAAATTTAAAAAGAGACAAGAATCTTTAAAATACTTGAATAGGGGAAAAAAATATAGGGAAAAAGTGGAACAAATCTGAAGAACCGTCACCTTTCTGTCCATCTGGGCACTTATCATTCTTTCCATCTGCAGCTCTTTAGACAAATATGTAACCAGATCAAAACTAGGTTGAACATAATTAATTTGTGTAAATGATGACAATCAGGCTGTGCAGGAAGAGAGTGAGGGGTATTGATGAGAAATGGTTTAATATAGCTAGTGTAACTCAAAGTTTTAGCTGCCTAGTTAAAAGACTAGTCAAGACTGCTTCAGGGAGACCCTTTTAAAAGCTGACTTTGCTACACCTGTAGTCCAAACAAGAAAAGTGTAACTGATGTCTGGCCTGAATTAAAGGAAGCTTAGAGCCATATAGAGTTTATATTTGTGATTCAAACCTTTTCAAATCTCTTTTGCTCCATGGTGAAGGAAAATAGTCTTCCATGCTGCTGAGTTCAGCAAACAGCTTTTAGCTGGACATTCATCCTCTCTCTAAATCTTCAAGCATAGCTGCATTATCACTTTTCTTAATAATATATTCAAATGGTTATTTACTTTTCACAGTAAGTTATGACTTTCAGTTAATATTTTTCTCATAAAGGTTTCCAATATCTGCTTTTCTGGCCATTGATTTCCCAACAATAATCAGTTTAAAATCAGCTAATTTAGTCATTGAACTTAGCTCTCAGTGCAGGAGCGCCAAAACCATGTGAAATAGCATCCTGCACTGAGAGCAACAGCTCTGTGATAGCCCTTCACTGCCCTGGCTCAGTAGCCTCAGCTTGTCTGTTTGACTTTGTCTGGTTTGACTGTTTTCTCAGGGAAGGACTCCATTATAGACAGACCAACACTCTGATTTGGCTTGTCCAAATATCTGTGACATGTGTTTCCCTCTCAGGTCCTGCATTTCTTCTGCTACAGCTGGTGTTTCTTTGGCCTTCAAACGGAGTTTCCTCTATGAGATCCAGTTTGTCAGTCTCCTGCTTCTTGATTGAGTTTGTAATGCGCTATTTGCCAGTTTAGTGGCAAATACATTTCAGGGATACACAGTATGACTTCTGCGCAGGATAAGAGGGAAGAAACTGTAAGAAATGTACACGTTATGGAGGCCATATGGATGAAAAACTTTTTCATGTTTGTATATGGAAGGAGAATTATGAAAAGTCGATAGAGAATGATTTTCTGTTGAAATGTGGCCTAATTAAAATATTTCTTAGCGTGTATATTCAATTCAGACCAACTTTTTGCAAAACAATTAAGTCTGAAATCACAATAGCCTCCATAGTAAGAAATTAATATACAATTTATAGTGTAGATCAAAAGATTCAGACTTGTAGCGACCTGCCCTTGGAGATAAATCAGATACAAGTGAAATTTGTTTCAATCTGTTTAAAAGTGTGTTTTTCAAGGTAGTCATTTGCGGTGTTATAGTTTTTGTTTCACTGGATTTCAGTTCTATTTTTCTTTATTAAGCACTAAGGAGGCACTTGAGAAAAGTACTCTTATTTGTACAGACTTTTTTTTATCTTTTTTTTCTTATATCTTTTTTTCTTTTTTCCTTCTGGCTCATGGCATATATCTGTCTATGATAAGCAAATCCTGAGTTGTGGATAGTATGCGTTCTTTTTCCTCACGTTTTGTGCCTGATGTTTCATACCTTAGACACTTCACTCCTTTCATCAAGAAAGACATTATTTGTGTCTAAATATAGCACTGTTTCTAGCCCAGAGTGCCTGCGGTGTTTCTTACAGCTATGCCTGAGCAGTTTCAGTAATAACTTTGATAGCAGGAATAGGTTTCTCCCCCTGCCCCCTGCAGCTACAACTGGTGCGTAAAACCTAAGTATGCACCGGGGCCCAGCTGCAGAGCTTGAGTTTGAACTTGCAACCTGCAAATAGAGGGAGTTCACCTCATTAGTGCACTAAGTTAATTGAGTCAGTGCTCTGTCATCAATATCTTTAAGTTACCCTATTCCCTGGGATGCAGTTTACTGTGACTGTTGAATGTTCAGTCATATTTAATGCTAGACCTGTTCCAATTGTTCCATATTGCCTCTAAAAACAATAAAATGTTTTTTGAAAAGAGTAGTAAAAACTGAGTAATCAGTGGAGCTTTGCTATGTTTCGTCTGGCTCTACCACAAATAAAGAAGAGTTCCAGCTTAAAATATACAGCCGATATATATATGGCAATTTAGGTAAAGGTAACATTATTTTCCAGGATTTAGTCCCCACGTTTCGGAGCTACTAGGTCCATAAAATAAAATTATATAAATCTCTGGTACTTGATGTTTTCATTATTATTAAATGCAACGTAACTGATAGTACAAAGATGCAGTAAGTCTTCATCCAATGATTATCTGTCATGTCTTGTGCTATCTCAACTTTGGTTTGGTCTGTACTAAGGGACTCAAGCAATGACTGGATCCCCCCAGTTACCTCACTCTCACACTGTTCTCAGTGGCTACCTGTTATGAAGTTCATCTATTGATATATAAATAGAAGCAGCTGATTGCATACACCTTTCTGGTCTGTGTTACCAGGTGGATACATAGCCATGAGGGCTTTTCTGATCTTTAGACTGATATAATGCATGTCTTAGTGACTAGATTTCTTGTTTTCTGTCATTTAATGTGCATACTCACTAAACACTGCTATTATTATTTCTTTACTTGCCTGTGATACGCTGGTGGGTTTGTATAGATGTCTGAAGAAGCAGTTAAGATAAAACGGGTGTGGGTTTCCTTAGCTTTGCACAAATGCAAGCTGTCACTGGTGGTTCAAGACCACAGAAACAGTTAAGGCTGCTCAGTGTTGAGAGCCATGCCCTCTGTTCCTGCAGTAAGTAAAGGGTAGGAGTCCTTCACAAATACAGCTAAATACAGGCCAAATATTTGCATACTGCTTTGTATTTGGATCATGATACTGTTAGCCCAAATTCCACCCCTTGGCAGTATTGTAAGGCATGTCTCAGTCTGACATAAACCAAACAAGGCTACAGATGCTGTTTCTGGAGAAAAGGCTTTGTTTGTGCAAATGCCTTGCAGCTAGCTCCTTCTTCTCCATGGTCTAGTGATCTAGAGCCAAAGTATCAGAAATCTTCCCAAATCACTGCAAATCTCCCAGTATTTTTTATGATTTTAAGATAGACATTCTCACAATTGTGACATGAAAAGATCAGCAGTGAACAGGTTGTGTGGTACATGTGAAGGAAAAGAAAATGGAAAGAAAGTTATTTTCAGAAGAAGTGTCTGGATTTGAAACTCCTCTGGATTTCTCCAGAGAACTGGAGAAAAAACAAATTAGCCGTCAAGGAAAAGAGCAGGTACTGTCTGATTTGGAATCATTCCTGGTCTAACCAAATCAATTACTCCTGCATGCATCAAACCTTTTCTTGCAATGATTCTGCCATGACATATTTTACTTGGGAGGATTTTGCTAAATATTTTTCAGATGGAGGAGTTGACTGAAGGAATTCGCTGGGCTTTTATTGACATGTTGGAGAAGGAAAATGACTGGATGGACTCTGAAACAAAGAGAAAAGCTTATGAGAAGGTAACAAATATAAATGTTGAATGGGTAAATTCCTGTTATGGTGAAGGTTTGATTTGAGTGAAAACAGAATGTCATGAACTGTACTTGCAGTTCCAGTTAGCTACTCGTCATTTTGTTCATGAAGGAACACGTGCCACATTTGTACAGCTAGAAGTTAAGCCGTCTGAACTCCTGCTTCTCTGCTGAAGTTACTTTTATTACCACTCACCTGCCGACCGATACCCAGCCCAACTGAGCAGTGATCTAGCCCTTCCAGGTAACTGTCCCCAGTTTATATATTGGGCATAATGTGCTGTGGTATGGAATACCTCTTTGGCTAGTTTGGGTCAGGTGTCCTGTCTCTGCTTCCTCCCATCTTCCCCTCCTCCCTGGCAGAGTATGAGTCACAGAAAGTCCTTGGTCAGAGTAAACATTCTGGCCAGCAACTAAAAACATCGGTGTTATCAGCGCTGTTCCCAGGCTGAAAGTCAAAAACACAGCACTGCACCAGCTACTGAGAAGGAGAAAAATGACTGCTACTGCTGAAGCCAGGACATAGGATCACACCAACCTACAAACTGAAAACGGTGTCTAAAATATCTGGGACAGTTGAGGGTATTTGGCTTGAAGATGGAGGATCCAGCCTTGAAGGGAATATGCAAATGGTCCAGGTCCTGTACCTTGTCCAGTGCCATGGTGGGAGGCCTACCTTGAAAGCCATTTTCCAGGAGTGCAATGACCATTCCAGCTGACACCCATCTGCCAGTAGAATAATGCCAGTTATGAAGTGTTATGATCAAGGATGGCATTACAGGTCCTGATTACTTTCAGATGGAGTGATGGTAAAATGCAGGAGGTAAAGACAAAGGCCGGCAGAAGTACTCAAAGCTCCCTTTTCACTCTTCTCCCACATTTACAGCATATGATACATTGCAAGGGAGCTTGTCCAAATTCAGAGCTCTGCCCCAGAACAGCAGTCAGAAAAGGCATAAACAAAGAAGAGTGGAAGGCAATGTGTAGGACTGTCTCCTTGTTTGTTGAGGCAATGGGATATTAGTAAACTAGTAAGTACCCTCTGAATAAAATGACATGCAAATGCATCTGAACTGTTCCTGCTTGCTGTGCTTGAATAAAAATAGCAGTGTTTTGTTTTAAAAGCAGATACAGACTTCAAATTATAATTTTTTTTTTAAATTCTGATGAAAGGGCTGTTGAGACATATTTTCATTGAAAAGTTTTAAATTCCATACACAGCCCGTTTAACTTTTACACAGCAGTGCTCTTCACAGATGTGCAAATGAAACAGAGCTGCCTAAATGCACCAATAAATTCAATAGCAAAAGAACAAGAGTAAGATGCCATTTATTTTCTGCTAACCTGCTGGTTAATAGACTGCAGTTATTACTTCTTACTGGCTGTTATGCTTGGATTTTTACTAGAAATACCGTTGGAAATATAATGATCTTTAATTTAGATATTTGACAAATTTAGTGTAAAATAAGAGCAGGAAGATTTTCTAATTATGTTCTTAACAGATATATCTAACTTTACAGGCATATGCATATCTGATGTTGAGTTTTCTAGCAAACAATCTGCTTAACCATTTTGTTCACAATTTTCTACCTGCCTTTCAGCAGAGAAACAATACAAGCATTGCTGCAAACTAAAAAGCCCTTCTGAAAAGGTCCCCCTTTCCCAGTTTAAGGAGAGTTTTGTTTGAAAGGTAGGTTAGATCTTTTGTAGGTAGAGATGTCTGTTTCTGTTGACACACTGAGCAAGCTTTCTGTACTTTGCTCCCAATTTAGGCATCTCCTTTAAGTTTCTAAAGTTGATGGGGTGTGTCTGTGCTGAACACGTGACAAACTAAATTCAAGCAATACAATAAGACATAGTACTACAAATAGCAAATTGTTTAAATCCATTCTCATTGAAAATTGATCAAAATTACTTGAAAAACAATTTTATAGTTTACTGATATAAGAGCAAGGTCAAGCTTGTAAGACACAAGCGTTATGTGATGACTTAGAAATTACACCAACAATTACATAGTAGGGCTTATAAATTTAAGTTCAAATTCACAGAAACTGCTAGATGGCTAGAAGGAAAGCCTCCAGAGAGACACCCTAGTAGATTTCCAGACATGCAGTTTGTGCATGCTTATTAAATGCTACTTATTGCTAATGATAGGTACTGGCTTTGTCCCAGGACATTTGGATGGGCATGTTTTTAGTTCAAGAGATAGATTCATTAGATGTATTGTCAGATAATTCACTGGGGAAATCTTCAAAATCTGTTACTGTGTTCCAGTTAAATCCCATGAGCCCAGCACTTTATGCTGTCACTTTTTAAATACTTAGACTTTGATACAGCAGCACAGGCAACTGGAATTTGGAAGTGGGGATTGTTTGGTTGTTTAAAAAAAAATCAAGTCCAGGCTGAATGAGCAACCTGGTCTAGTGGGAGGTGTATCTGCCCATGGCATAGGGGTTGGAACGAGATGATCTTTCAGGTCCCTCCCAGCTCCTTATGATTCTATGATTACTTTATAATATGCATCTATAAAAGTGACATTTCGTTGCCAATATTTGTCACCCACACCTTGAAGACAGTGCCAGTACTGTGGATTTCACAACTCAGGAAGGAACTTAGTTTGTTCTTGAATTGAAAAGCAAGTTGTGTTTTCTGGGGGGGGGGGGGGGGGGGTGGTTCTTCTCAGGTTCACATTCTGGACCACTATCAAAATATAGGCAAGTGCTATGACAGTACAGTGGGATGCTGAATGTAGCTTCTTCCAGATGAAGGCAACTTCATTGCTCTCTACAGCCTCCCGAGGAGGGGAATTGGATGGGAAGGTGCTGATCTCTTCTCCCTGGTATCCAGTGGTAGGATGTGTGAGAATGGTTCAAAGCTGTGTCAGGGGAGGTTCAAACTTCACATTAGGAAACATTTTTTTTTACAGAGAAGGTGTTCAAACACTGGAAAAGGCTTCTTAGACAAGCCTGTCCATGACTAAGTCATTTGGACAATGCCCTTAACAACATACTTTAACTTTTGCTCAGCCCTAAATTGGTCAGACAGTTGGAGTAGATGATTCTTGTAAGTCCCTTACAACTGAAATATTCTATATTCTATTCTATTTTTTTCTTTTTATCAATTAAGTAAAGAAAAGAAGTCATTAGGTAAAGAATATCTTGAGTTTTCGTTTACATCAGTAGCTGTCACATTGTCCCTTATAGCAATGCAGAGTAAAGTTCTATGGCAGAACCGCATGCTGCATGGAAATAACTGATTCCTATAATTTTCTTTTTTTCTGAATTTTAATCTCACTGCATTTTTTAATTTTTCAAATGCTCTGGAAAGAAAGGAACTGTAGAAACCTAGTGAGTTTTGTTTACTGGTCCTGATCCATTTAATTTGTCATTAATCCTTTCTTTAACTTCAGGCATAGTTTAATCATTAAAAAAATTTTTACTCATTTCCTGAAAGAAGAATAAGGTCGGTGTGAGATCTGGGTGTCTGGACTGTGAGCATGGAGAGCCTTCCTAGAAAAACTCTTATGCTCCTAATGGTGATTGTATCTTTAGATGACAACACGGTGATGCAAATGGCTTGGCAGGCTTTAAAGAGAATTAGCTGCAAATAGTCTCTGTGATTTGGAAACTCACTGGTTTCCATGTTTTCTGCTGCCTGTTTTCTGACTGGTGCCCACCTTTCTTTTGCTTGGCTGAGACCAAACTTGTATACCTTGCTGTCAGCCTGATGTTTTGCAATCAAAGGGACCATCGACCTCCAAAGGACTTACAAAAGGCCCTCTGGTAGAATCGATGCTTGAATTTTGCTTTAGGCAGCCTGTCAGCTCTATCTAATCACAGTAATGTTTCTCCATCTGTGACTCTCTTTGTGTCTGTCCTGTTGTTTTAAGTTGCTCAGAGGGGATACTACTAATTTGATGAGGACAAACCATATCAAAAGCATCAAATCTGTTAGGCTATTCGATTTAGGGAACAACTGTCTTGCAGTTTAGATTTCCGAGAATTGTCGTTTTAGCCCTTGTGTACTTTGGAGTGAAGGTTTGACTTTCCCTCTGTAACAAAACAATGTAACGAGATAACATCTAATAAATTCATTCTATCCTCCCTCCGTTCCTCTCTTTCTGCGATCGAAACATGGATTTAATCCAGACTCTCTGAAAGCCAGTCTTGCAAAGAAAGTTTTTAACAAGGTTAGGTGAGTTGCCTGTCCTCACGTGCAGTTCTCACCTAGCTCTCTGGATGGAGCTCATGCTGCTTCCAAACATGCTCCGAGCCGGAGAGAAGCAGTCGGCTGTGCTGCGATGCTCTGTTTTCTGCCCTGTCCTTCCTCTGCTCTGTTCAAACCTTGCTTTATTGCTCTGTATTTGTCTACCATCTAAAATTTGCTTAAATCGTGCCTGTCAACCTCGCGAGTTTTCAACGGAGATATCTGATTTTAAAAAGCAAACAGACAAACAAAAAACCAAGCAAAGGTTAATCTTCTTGTGGATTTAGCCTCTCTTTTTTTGTAAGGGTCATTAAATTTTGTCCTCATTCAAAGAACAGAGAAATTATCCAAATGAGTGCATCTCCAAGGGTGTGTCTGGCAACTGCCTTCAAGTATGTGGTCTGTGAGTTACACAGTTAAGGCAATGCAGAAAGGCTCCCCCATCGGCTGCCCAGGCACCTGGTGAGCTCAGGCCACCTTGCAGCCTCAGAGAAGGGATGAGCAGGTGAAGAGAGGGGGGAGAGAGAGGAGAGCCTTTTGTTTCACTTACAATGGAGGTGGAGCTTGCAGCCACCTATGTCAGCCAAATGGTATTGACAGCTGCATTTTATAAGGGCAGACTGCAGGGAAAAGGGAGAACCTGCAACTGAAACTTCATTGACATGACTTGTGTGACTCTCATCTTTAAAATAGTAATTTATTGCTGCTGCTCTTTAGAGGATAATTCAATGGAAGATCGTCACTGAGATGTAAAATTGTTCCCTTTCTTGGGCAGGCGCTAT